AGGGGAGGCGGCCGCGCGGGGCCGGGGGTCGTGCTCGGCGGGCGGTGGGGGATCGATTCAGTAGGGCAGAACCGGTGACACCCGAGCCACCAGCGAGGATGAGGCCTTGTCAGTCTCCTCGGTCTCCGTCCTCACTTCGTCCTTCTCTGCACTTCGCCCTAGCATCTTTTTCTCGCTCACACACACACTGCTTCCGTTTCGCACAAATCAACGATTTCTCCCTCTTCCATCTCCTCTCTCCATTTCTTTCACATTCGCGTTATTCCTTACTCCTTTCTCCTCTCTTCCGCCCTCCCTGCCTGGTTGTGTCTGGATGAAACTCCGAACCGACCCTGCGGACAATCCAGTTCCTGGAAGTGACAGTTAGGACGGTCAAGCAGCAGGTCTGGTCGGGGCGCTCCTACCTGTTTCGGCACCATGGCCTTTCCCTCGGCTTTTCGCCCTAGCTTTTTCTCTCTCCACGGTAACCACAGCCTCCCACCCTCGGATCCAGCAGAGCTAAGCGAGCCACAGTCCTGGGGAAGCATGGTCCAGAACTGGGGGGAAAGGGGTTCGTTAGGAAGCCCTGGAGCAAATCACACTGCACGTGGCCCTGGCCAAAATATGCATCAGCCCTTTCAGAAGAGAAGGCAGAAGGCATGGAATTCCCTCTGTGCGAGGGCTGGCGCTCTCTGGGCGCCAGGGACCCCGCCAAGGAGGTCCGTGGGGGGTCCGCTCGCGCGCTCCCGGGTCGGCCTCTGGGGCTCTGCCCACCAGGACGCTGCAGCTCGGCGGGCGGTGGGACTAGAGAAGGAAAGGGCAGTGACGGCTTCGTTCAGGTCTCAGTTGTCCTGGGGCTCTGTGAAAGGCTGGACCTGCACTCGCTGCGCCCTAGCCTCTGGATGTCCCTGGAGCAGTGGCTGCTCTTTAGCCCCACGGAGGCACAAGAAACCGCCCAGCTCGACCTCATCCGTGCCTTCGTGGGGAGCTGGAGCCAGCCTCCAGCAGCGGGGGGCTTCCCTGAGTTAGAGAGATTAACCCTTCCCGGCCTGGCAGGCTGCTCAGTAACTCTTTAACTCCGTTTTTTCCAGTCCTCTCTCCAGGAGCCTTAGAGGCCAGGAGCGGTATGGTCCTCTCTAATCAGCTAGTTCTTTCCACTGGTAATGAAACCACCCGCATAGCACAGATGAGGAAAGCAGAGGCCCGGAGAGGTCTCACTAGGTCACCTTGCAGGGATGGCAAAAGAGGGCTGTTCTTGGGGCTTTGGGATCAGCTGTTTGAGTTGCTTTAGTTGAATTCTAGCATTTTCCCCCTCTCCTTTCCCCACCTTCTTCAGTAACTATTGTGCACCCGCTCTGTGCCAGATGCTTGTTTAGGTGCGGAGGACACAAAGCAATAGAACTTCGTTATTGATATTTTTTAAACATTTGGAATTGGCATCAACTATGGACCAAGAATCAAATTATTTAACATTTATCTTTTTATTAATTCTTATGATAATGCTAAGGGATAGGCAATTTTTATTCCATTTTAAAGACGAGAAAACTATAACATAGAGAGGTTAAATGTCTTGCCCCAGATCACAAAATATTAAAACTCTTCTATTCCAATATTAAAATTCTAATATATTGTTTTTCTATTAAAAACATTTTAAAGCCTTTTGTTTTCCATTTTATACTTTTTGTCTAATAGGAAAATAGGAATATTCATAACTATCATTCATATATGAACGTATTGAAACAAATGTTAATTTTCCTAAAGGCTGAGGAAGGTAGGAGGGAAACTACACAGAGAAAGTGGCCTTTTTGTCATTACTATCTAGAAATTTTATTTAATATTTTGATATATTTTCAGACTTATAGAAAAGTTGCAAAAATAGTACAAAGAATCCTTGGATATGCTTCACCCAGATTTCTACTTTTTATATCTTCCTAAAGGAAATAGTTTTGCAAAAGTTTTAAAGCCCCATCTCTACTTCTCCACCACTGGTGGCCTTTCTCAAGAACCTGGTAACACCAGGTATTGCGTGAGAGCTGATGTGCACATGAGGACAGATGTGTGTGGGTGTAGACAGATGTGCACATAAACCTACATTCACCAGCTGAGGATAACCAGACGCCTTCAGCTCCACGTTGTTAGTCAGTCACTAGTACAGGAAATGCTTATTTCTTATGATTTTGGCTGAGACTGAGTCATAAATACTCGGGTTTCCCAGGTTCAAAGTCTTACAGCCAGTATACATTTGGCGTATACTCTTTGGGGACAGTACTTGGGCCTCTGTCCCTGACTGTCCCTGAGTCCAAAGCCTCTTTTCTGTTGCTATGCTTCTGTGAGCCAGAAGAGCCGAGCGCCCTGGGGGTGGCTTTGTAATTCAGAAACACATTGCCTACCTACTCTGTGTCCCACGTGATTGGCTGTGGGCCATGGGGATCCAAAGAGGTATGTGGCAGTCCTTACCCTAAATGGACCTCTCAGTCCAGTGAGAGAAGAAACATCAACATGTGAAACGTTTCCACAACAAACACGAAAGTTATGTAGTTAAGTGCCAGAATAAATTATCCTGACAATAAGAAACACTGGGAATTCCAAGAAAGGAGGGAGCCCTGTAGGCTGGGGTGGTTGCGAAGGTTCCTTGGGAGAACAATTGTTGAGCCAGACCTTGAGGGGTGGAGAGAATTTCATTAGGTGAGGGGATGTGGGGAGGACCACTGGTGGGGGTAGGGGGCACTCTGGACAAAGACACGGAATTTAGGAAGAGCTGCTGTGTATTCAGGGGGCATCGAATGAGTGAAATCCATGAAATGAAAAATTGATATTGGCACAAAATGCCTTGGAACAGTTAGCCTGCAGCAAGATTGTGAGGAGTCCTGAATGTGAGGCAAAGGATTCTGGAATTTGTTCTGCACTTTCTCCAGACTCGCTAAAAAAGCGTAAGCAAAAAGGACCTTGATGAGAACCGTATTTTAGGAGATATAAATTGGCAGCTCTGCCCAGAGGTGACCCCACAGGCTGGCCAAGGGTGGAGAGCTTTAGTACCCTTACGTATCTGTCACGCTCCCCAACCCACACTTCAAAATAAACAATGGACATTTTCTCAACACTTTGTAAAGGGATGTGCACACGCAGCTTCTGGACAAGTTCCTATTCTCCCAGACTCTGTGCAGAGCCAAAGAGAGCCACCCTAACCTTCTCAGGAATTCTAGATCCACCACGGGGGGTGCATGAAGCATCGGAAGAAAAACCAAAAGCAGCGGGACTGGTTAGAACCTCTTGCATTAAATGGGGAGATGAGGTGAGGGTGGTAGACCAAACATAGAAGGTGCTTGGGAGAAAGATGAGACAGGTTAAATATCCAATGGTCACTGTGGGTGGGAGGGGGAGTGGAAGACAAGAGGCACCAAAGATAAGTATGTCATCTAATATGTCATTCTATATGCTGAGATTAATGCTAGTTACAGACTTTCTAGTACATCCCAGGGATTGTAAGTGTCATCACCAAGCCTCACAACACCACATTACAATGAGGAAACAAATGTTCAGACAGATTAAATACATTGCCTATCATTCCACGGTTAGTAAATGATTGAGCCAGAATTTAAAGTTAGAAGGTGGAAAACCCTCATACCTCACTGTCCTTTGAGGGTAATACTCACAAACTAGGAAGTCAAATTAAGTTAACTTGTCAGGAAGGGAAAGATCCATTTAATTCGAGACACAGTACCTTGGAGAGGATGACAAACCACATCCATCCATCTTCATCCATCCATCCATCCATCCATCCACCTTTCCATTTTTAATTTGAATCAACAATTCAGTAAATCTTTGTTAAATACTATGTGCCAAGCACTGGGAAATGAATGGTGAAGAAAGCAGAAGTTGTCCTTGCTCTCCAGAAGTGGCTGGTGGGTCAAGGAAGATGGACAATAAACAAGCGATCACAAGGCACAGTGAGAAATACTCTGAAGGGGAAAGTGCGGAGCGCTCTGGAGCTGACGGCAGGACCCTGTACCCAGCGTGGGTCAAGGAAGCCGCCCTGAGCAGGAGGGGAAGGAGATCTGTGCTGCTGTCTCATCCCACAGGACACCTGGGAGCCATGGACCATCTTTTCATCCCTTTGAGTTCCAGTCTCCATCTGTGGCCGTTCTCCCAGAGGAAGACATGTGCTCCCGAGAGCACTTGGGACCAGGTAGCTGCGGTTTGATGGAAGGAGCTGGGGGCTGCGAGGCAGACAGTTTGGGTTCTTAGCTTTGAATAGGCCGCTTGACTTCACAGAGCCTTTTTCTCTT